AACAATGACAATTCAGATTTCACAAACGAGCTATGATAGAAACAAGTTTATTAGTCACAAGAATGACTCACTTTTTTTCATTACAAATAAACAAAATCATCAATAAAACAATACACATGGTGTTGCCATGGTGACAGATTACAGACCCCACACCTTTAATAACAAAACTGCCTTGTCAATAAAAAATCAACCCCACATGCATTTACAAAAACAAAAACCCCAGTGTAACTGTTGATTTATATACAAAATATATGTAAAATAAGTTTGGCTTTTTCAATTTTTGTTTAAAAGAAGTCAGTCGATTAAAATACTTCACCATAAACATTTTGAACTGCAAAAATTTGAGACCCCTTTAAGTTTAAAAGCAGAGAAGACATGCTTACTAGTAGCATATACATATTCACTTCCCACATAATCATCCCCAACAATACTCACTACCATTAAATATGCTGATAGCACACAAACACTAAGAGATTTTGCCTTTTATAAACACTTTAGTGGACCACTTTCCAAATCAAGGCTCCAAGGCTTATTTTGAGCTCCAGTTCTAATGGCAGGCGGAAACTTGTGCCTGACACTGGAGCACTGAGGCCACTAGAAAACCGTAATTTGCAAAACGTCCCAGACTACAATTACTAGATAGGGTGACTTTTATACAAAATATCTTATTCTCATGGAAATATACAGTGTTAAGAGTAGAGTTCATGTAAATCTTACGCAACTTTTCAGGAAAAGCAGATCTGTTAAATTTGCCTGATTTTTTAGTGATTTAGTACATTTTAAAAATGAGATGATCGAGACAGTAGTTTCATCAACTTGATATCACAACATGTACAGAACCTGCCACCACAACGCTGAAACGAAACAGTCTTCCCATTCGTGATGTGTCCTCAATTTAAATAAATTCTGCAGAACCATACACACTACATCAAGGTGGCTCTCAAAAGTAATTATGAAAACATGATCAAATCTTTGTCCAAATTGTGAACAGGTGTTGTGGTGTCGGTGGGTGATCTGACAATACAATGTATTGTATAGGCCTACCAATTTGAACTCCTTTGACTGGACTCAGTGACAAAAGGAAAGTTGGAGGTGGGGGGGGTGGATATCAAGTTTAAGTATTTGAGACTGTTTTCAGAAAAAAAAAACTGCCAATGAGCAGAAACCATTCCTGATTGTGACATGCATAGTATACTTGATTTAGAGGTCCTTGTTTGTAATAAGCCTTTTGCGTGTTAACTTTGACCCAAATCTGGTACACTGAGTTCTTTAAATTCATGAGAACCTAACAACTTGAATTCTCCATACTAAAACCACTGTTGCTATACCTTGTGATTCGGGGCAAGTGTTTGCTTAATTACATAAGAGACGCCGTGCAACAATACACTGTTCTCAATGGATAAGAAGGGCACAAAGGAACCAGTCCATTCCAGAGATGGTGGTCGCTATGCGAAAGCTTTCCCTGAATCTCGAGGTATAGCAACAGTGTCTTTAGTCTGGGGAATTCAAATTGTTATGTTTATATGCAATCAGATAACTCAGTGTACCAGATTTTGTTCAAATTTAATTCGCAAATGGGTTTATTAGAACCACAGATGGCTTTATTGAAGGAGGGTATTGTAAAACTGCTGGAAAAAAACAACAACTACGGATTCAATTTCTAACCATGCTTAACAAACAACCTTACTTTTGGTGCATGACGTCAAAAATATCAAAATCAATATTATTGCTTACACATGTGTAATTAACAACAAAACTACATAAATGAAAGACGATTAGATTTGCCATATGAAAAAAAAAAATTAAACAAATGTTTTTATCGAATTGGAAAAAACAAGTACAGAAAGAGAGTGATTTTGAAGTGTTACAAAAGCAATATGTCAGACTTGGTCTGTAAATATGCAACGGAAGTGACAAACACAAGGAAATTTACATCTTTTTTGTGACAGTCTAGCCACAGTATAAATGTTATTCACAAGTCTTTTTGTGTACATCTGTTGGTGGTTTACTACGTGACTATACGCTACTACGGTATTGAGTTTGTTCCAAGAAGCACGACACTGTCTCTACAACATGCTTGACTAGTTACGCTACTTGATAATGAACGCACATTACTTCAGCACGTGTACAAGGCGACTGCATCCAACTGCCCATCGCTTTCAGCGATACTCTGGTATCCATGCTCAGCAACCGATATCTCCACAGTGATGGAACCCCATCACATTGGTTGACAGACTTTTTAACTTGAGACAAAACAAACTCTGTCCTGGGCTCCAATCAAGTCAAAATAGAGGGGAAAAAAAAAACCAGGGAACAGAGCCCAATATGCAGCCTAGCACATGCGACTGCATGAGCAAGTCACATGGAAACAAAGTATCCTCAGAGCATGTACATTTCCTACTTCTGTAAATAATTGAACTACATCAAATGATCACTACTGCACCATAAATACAGCGCTTAAGGTTATACGCGTCTTTTAACATATTATAATTGCATCATCTCATTTCCATCCCAGGAAACGTCCCACGCCCCCCCCAAAAAAAGGTCATTTCCGGGGGTCCCCTTCGCACGCAGAAAAACTTATGTACAATTTGCCATTATATAAGAGTTTAGAATTGTCTCAAATCATGAGATGACACTGATGATGCCACTAATTAGCAGTTACGTACACTTGCTTTATGCATTTCTACCACACAGAATACACTGCGCAGACAGGGGAAATGTTCTATACAAGTAAATCCTCCTTTTTCAAACCCTTTCCAAGTCCCAGAAACCTCTTCAGGCAACCTTGTATGAAAATTCCTAGACTCCTCCTACAGGAATTCGATAAACCAAAATGACAGGTACCTTGGATACAGCATCATGAGACTATGTACAGTTTTATTTTTAACCGTTTATGAAATGATGTCAACAAACAACTATCTCATTGTAAATTTAATGAATGAACGATGGTTATCACATCCTACACATTATAATATCTAAAGTGTCCGTTAAGTAAGAATAGAGGGACCTAGACTTTATTTTGTCACAAACTTTGGTGTCTTTCAATACTTCAGTAACTCTACCTCCTTGTATCACAAATTCTCGACATTACTTGAATGGTAAGTTTAACAGAACCTATGGATATCCATTCAAACAAAACAAAACCAAACCTAAATCAAAAACAAGTGACTAATTGACTGATGGGGTGCCCCGCTCAACAAAGATTGACATCGTTCCTTTTCCTTCTCTTTCATCCCCCAACCCGAGCAGGGACGATTTTTCCATGCTCAGCTCTGTGCTCACCCCGAGCTAAGAATCAGTGTTTCAACAGTCTGCACGCCCAACTAATTGGCAGAGTCTATTAAACGCCCGGTGTTATGCCCTTCACCAGGGGAGGGAGTTGTTGAACAACCCTGCATCGCAAGGACAGACGTGCACTGAATGTTTAAGTTAGAGTTTCAAACTGCAAACGTTTCTGTCCAATATCGGTGGTATGTACCGCAGTTTTTACAAAAGCAGATTTTTTTTTTCCAACAAAAATATTCTGGAAAAAAAATTCAATCCTGAAAGTGACTGACATCAAAAAAGGCAGTTCCTTTCAAACTGCCGTAAAACTGTCTCGTTAAGAAAAAGGAAGAGGATTATTGCATTGTTGTTAAATTACACAAGACAGTCACAAAGTAAAAAAAGAAATACACAAAGGTTCCCTTCTCCAACAGCCAAGGATATCAGTAGGGTGTAAATAGTTCGACTGTAATGAAAAAATATTTTACGCTCGCAGTGAGACAGTCATTCTAAGTAGACAGTCATTCCTTTACATTTCAGATTAGTTCTTGGTCACAAAAACACACTCGTTATTTTTTACGCTAATTCTTTGGACACAACAAAGGCTTGATGTTACAAACACACTGCATCAATGTCATTCAATTTTACTTTTTTTAGTATCTATGGCAACACAAAAAAGCACCATCACAAAAACAAAAAAGAACGGGATTATTACACACAATGCACTGAACAATTATCATTCCTTTTATGAAAGATTAATTTTTTATTCCCCACGTGAATTTCCCATCGGAATGAGCAACAGATGAAAACTTTTGCCAATCGCAAGCGATGCTAAAACAGCATTCCTGAAGATTTGGACAAATAAAAGCCACTTAACACTACCCCTGATCGCTGAGTCAGTACACAGGTATGCTTCGAGTTTTACACCGAGACTCATCACCACCTAATGGCCTTTAGCAGCTGAGTGATTTGAGTGGCATGAGCACCAGGTGACAGGCCTGGTGTCCTGGATACGGTGACACTCACTGGACTCCATCTAATCTCTCCTCAGGAAGTCTCTTCTGTCAATGCACAACATTGGGTCATTTTTACTTTAACAAAACCAAAAGAATGAGTTGATTTTATCCGACTCAAATCATCAGCAGTTCGAAAAGTATGTAACCCTGATGAAAGGAGATTCTTGCCCCACTGACCTGAAGCCAGTGCCCTACCTTCAATCTCCATGGTTAGGCTGCTGACCATTTCTCTACAAGGTGTCGTTGAGCTGCTCACAGAGCGCTCGAAACTTCTCAGCCAGGTTCGGATAATCATTCTCTTCCAGCTCTTCAATGATCTGAAGAAAAAAAATCACGAGAATGAATTGATTTTCTCAACCACAATGACAGATCAAATGATTCAGCTGAATCAAATCTTCACATTTTCAAACACTGAAATTGCCTGGTCAGATTAGGCCTCTCTCACAATGACACTCTCCTGAACATTGTTTGAATTTGTTTGGTTTTATTTTTATTTCAAATCTAGTTTGGCACAGCATCGCACAAGTTACATGCTAAAACCAGCAGAGCTTGTGTTGGGTTTTCAGGAATTTGCTGTAAACTTGACTTCAATCGGAGGTCTAACTCTACCCAGCAAATGCAAAAGTGACTGAAAATGCACTTACAGATAAAGGGCTTACTCCAACATTTAAACTAACTTGACTTCTTGTTCTCCTTTGGTTTATTTGAGTCACCAATTACCACAAGGAACCTTTTACTTTCCAAATTAGCTAGAGTAACCACAGTCTCAGCAAGTTTGTCCCCCCAAAAGAATTCTCCCATGCCTAGGCTGATCTTCAACAACCAATTTTCCCTACACCTGTCATGGCATGCACCTGTTTCTTGTAGGTGATTGCATAGTAGAAGTAGAGCTCGTTGAGGGCGGTGCTGGTGTGGAAGTCATACTGGTGGGCGTGGGAATGTTCAGCAAGCATTGCACTCATGTCCTGATCACTGATGGCCGGCATGGCTCGGATGTCCTCAAAGTACCTGGGGTGTGGACAAAGATGGAACGGGGGGGGGGAAGGAGAAGAAACAGGAACATTGAAACTCTCTGCAGGACCGAGGTGAAAGGGTATCCACGGTCTCAGCAACAATTATTGAAAGAAGTCAGCTTAGTTTGTATATACAGTGGAACGCCGCTATATCGAACATCCGGCTGTACCGAACATCGTGAAAGTGACAAGTGGCCATTATTTCCCCAAGGATTAGAAGGGAAAGCCACTGGTTGTTGAAGAGTTAATTCAACTAATTGGTACTGAACTAGCTGAGAAAGTGGGTACATTGGTCCACACTTGTTCAAAGTCATCTTCTAGTAATGGACAGGGCACGCATAGTCAATCTGCCAATGGTATTGAATGGACACTGGTTTTGCAACTCCACATGATCCTATGTGGGAGAAAACTGCGCGTGCACTGTGGCATTGCACTAACATATGTCTAAAGAGGGTGCCACCGAGATTCGCCACAGCGTGCATCAGAGATCGATCATGAGCAGTAGCGTCATGACTTTTAGGATAAACATGAAATCAATTTTGTTACTTTAAGATTTAATAAAAAACAAAAATAATTAACAGATTCTTTTTGGAACCTTAAACATCAATGCAACGGTAAAACATCACACAAACAGCAAACCCCAGTATCACAAGAGGGTGCACTTCAGTTAGACAAGAGAGGGTGCTATTCAACCTGGAAACAAAACGTTCAGCAGTCAATTTCGCTATACCCAACGTCCGCTGTACCAAACAATTAGTGCTGACCCCGTCGTGTTTGTTATAGCGGCGTTCCACTGTAATACATTCTCCTCTGCCTTAGGTGGCAAACCGAACTCACTCAAAAGTGGACCAGATGGGCCACGGAAACCACATTTTGCAACCTGTCTGTACAAAATTTTAAAAAGCCACGTCTCGTGATATAATGACTGGTATCAAACCCTTTGAGGGCAGAGACGAGACAAGGACCGATTTGTCTGTTGAGCTGCCATGTGGGAGAACAGCCAATCCTAAACTCTGTGCTGACCCCCTCTGTGTACCCACTTGTAGGCAACTGACCCTTCAGGGCAGACAGGAGATAACGGAATGGTTTAGTTTCTGAGTGGCAGGGGTGCTGGGAGGGTGAGCCAACCTTCCTAAATACTGCCGATTCCTCTCCACTCACACCCAAAATGCTGTGCTGGCTACTGACAGACATGGATCGAGTCCCCCTTCCTCAGAGCAGGCAGGCAGGACGGCATCAGGCCTGACCATCGGTATCGTTCAAGTAGTCAATTCATTCAAGGCCAATACAATTAAACATCCACTGACTGTATCGACAGATGCACAACTGGGGTGTCAGGAAGAGATAGGGAAATCTCAAGCTGTTTGAGACTTTTCACAGAGGAAGTAAAAACTCAGAAAAAAGGTAACATTCCATGTCTGAATAAAAAAAAATGGTCACATGATGTACAATTGGTCGTTACACTGGATAACTCAACCCTTCCCCATCGTATCATTCTCTTGCATTGCAACTCCACCACAGAAATGCAGAATAAAGAACTACTGGGTACTTGCTAAAAAAATAAGCATGTCCTCCTACCTAGCAACCCATTTCTTGTACTTGGGTATGTCCTTGGCATACAACAGCCGACTGGACGAGGAGTCCTTGGTCAGAGGATGGTCAGCGACTGAGCAGGCATCCATCAGGGTCTGGCCGATGATGGACAGGCAGGCGTCCACCGTCTCCGACTTGTAGATGTCAAAGATGATGTTGGGGTTCTTGATGAGGTTAACCCAGAACCTCAGTGGTAGACTAAGACAAAAGGTAGGGGGTGGGGCAGAGGGTCAGGACCAATCAAAGAGGTGGGTGTGAAATTCAACCAGGTACAAGTAGCACTGGATACTTCTCTTAATTACACTGTATGCTCAAAGTGGCTCTTGTTCTTGTAACCGTTTCAAGCCACATAATGTACAACTGCAGGCAACGGCAAGCAGGGTTGAGTAGTGACGGCCCTCACCTGTTGCTCTTCCAGGAATGCACCACGTCCTGGTTCTGGATGTTGTGGTGCTTGGCCTGGTCGTCAAGGAGATCAAAGAGATACTTGATGCAGATGGGCAAGGTGTTGCCGCGGTGGTTGACACTGAAGATCATCTCAAACAGCTCGTCCACGAACGTCTGCAGTACACCCTGGTGGGGGAAGCACGAACAGGCAATTGGGTCATTAGCTGGACACCGGGCAGGGTCAGCCGGTCTCGGCATATTAGTGACCACACGCTTCTCTTAGGCTTAAAGAGGCTGATGGCTGAAAACATCTATACCATTCTCTAGGTAATATGCAGCTTATGTCATATTAAAAAAAAGCAACCTCTTTTGCCACTAAGTCAGAAAAAAGGTTACTCTTAAGAACTGGTTTTTTTTCATGTCCCTTCAAGGCCCGTCGCTTCATTTGTCTAGAGGTGTCCTTTGGGGCAGCAAGAAAAAAAAAAGGAAAAAAGGTGTAACGACTGGGAGTTCCGCTTCAGCGGTTTGGGCTTAAGTGCCACTTTTTTTGAACAGTGAACAGTTATTGGAAACAGGAATCACATCAATGATTTTACCTAAAAGAACCAATGACCTCTATATTCATTCTTGCATACAAAGGACAGGAAATGTCAGAGGAAACTTTACACGTGTTGACTGCAGAATACGTTACATTATACATTGCATCATTACACATGGGCCTAGTTACAACACGTGACATTTTGTAAATATTTTGTGTAGTAGTTGTAACCCCTCTTGAAAATATGTGACATACTCTGTGAAAATGAGTCTTAAGTCGCCAAAGCCACTTTTTGAGTTTTCATTTACAGTGGAAAGAGCAAATTTGAATTTTTTGTTTTGACGTATCGCTCAGTTTGCCATCCTGATGAAAGTGGATACTCCATGGTGAAACATGCTGTGGGTTCCTTTTGATATAAAATTATTCGGAAGGACTCTTTACTCCAAAGCGGCTCTGACGACTTAAGACTCATTCTCACAGAGTGGGTCACATATAATGCTGCAGCATTAGCCGTTAATACCTTAGTGGTCAGCAGTCTCGGTAGGTAGATCTCTGCCATCATCTTGTGGACCTTGTCCCCAGACTTGTGGTACTCCGAATCGGACGGCTTGACCAGATGCCACAGCTTGGTGCCGTTGACGTCCACGTCCGGCGACAGCATGGGCGTGGTCACGGAGCGGGCGGGGCTATTGGCTGATGGCATGGCCACTGCGAAAGCAATGAGAATGCAATGGCTTAGGTTAAACAGAAAGCCGTACATTGTCCTCCAAGAGGCGTGTCTAGCGTTTCCACTTTAATGTCGCCAAAATTGCAACAAAGTACGCAGATGTATGAAATATGCCACAGAGGGCAGGCTAGTCTCTATGTAAAATTGATTGTTACAGCCCCAAAAAATAAATAAATAAACAGTACAAGCAAATTAACACAAAGAAATCAGATTGATAAAAAGAGAAGATTCCAGATTCAAACTGTGTGCTTAACAAGAATATGAAAAAGGCCAGTTTCAATACCACTAACAAAATAATGATCAGCAATTTCCTGATTACTTACTGTATTTGGAACTGGAGTAAACTGACATGAAGCCTTGCTTGGGTACCAGCGCTAACGTTGCACCATCACCAAGCTGAGGGGGGAAAACAACATGTGAAAAATAAATCCAGAAGAAGCCAGAGTGAGTGCGAATGAATTGAGAGCAAACTTTCTGGGGGAAAACAGTACGAGGTACGGTAGGAAACGCTCATTTTTCGCATTCAAATGGCAAAGCACTGCCTCTCAGAAAAAAATGGGAAAAACATTGTTTCCACTCTAAAATGTGCATTCAGGTACCATAATGTTATTATGATGTGTTATTTATTTCTTCCTTTCTAGATCATTCTTTTTTCTCGTAGGGTCGTGTTTACACAGAGTAAGGGTGATATTAGACTGGGGGATCCAGTGACTGTAGCTTCAACAGATAAACTGCTTACCCCTGGGTGGCAACAGATAAACTGCTTACCCCTGGGTGGCAACAGATAAACTGCTTACCCCTGGGTGGCTACAGATAAACTGCTTACCCCTGGGTAGCAACAGATATTAAAACTGTTTACCCCTGGGTTGCAACAGATATTAAAACTGTTTACCCCTGGGTTGCAACAGATAAACTGCTTGCCCCTGGGTTGCAACAGATTAACTGCTTACCCCTGGGTGGCAACAGATAAACTGCTTACCACTGGGTAGCTACAGATAAACTGCTTACCCCTGGGTAGCAACAGATATTAAAACTGCTTACCCCTGGGTTGCAACAGATAAACTGCTTACCCCTGGGTAGCAACAGATAAACTGCTTACCCCTGGGTAGCAACAGATAAACTGCTTACCCCTGGGTAGCAACAGATATTAAAACTGCTTACCCCTGGGTAGCAACAGATAAACTGCTTACCACTGGGTAGCTACAGATAAACTGCTTACCCCTGGGTAGCAACAGATATTAAAACTGCTTACCCCTGGGTTGCAACAGATAAACTGCTTACCCCTGGGTAGCAACAGATAAACTGCTTACCACTGGGTAGCTACAGATAAACTGCTTACCCCTGGGTAGCAACAGATATTGAAACTGCTTACCCCTGGGTAGCAACAGATAAACTGCTTACCCCTGGGTAGCAACAGATAAACTGCTTACCCCTGGGTAGTTGCAGAGCATGTTTAGTCTCCTCCACTCTCCCTCAGTCTTGCTGTCGTCATCTTGCAGTATCTTTCCTTCCTCTCGCCATTCTGTCAAGGAATTGAAAACAAAGCCAAAATTGACAAATGCACTGGCCTGGGTCTCAAATATCATTGCTTATAGGACAGGCGAGCCATTTCCATTATTGTATGAGCTGGGCCAAACCCCAAAGGTTCTGCTAACTACTGAACCGATAGATTTCTCCTCGTTATGATCTCTGCGCAGTATTTGCAGGGCAATCCCATGCCAACCCTGTCAGCACAAAATTGTATGCTGGCTTCAAATGTGTCGGCATTATTCTAAGATCACATCCCACGAATAGACAATGTTTACCTCTCTGCCATCTTGAAATACCCAAGTGATGCAAGCATAAACTCCTAGTCTGATTGAGAGTAAACTCACTCAGGAGTATGCTCAAGTTGATATGAGTAACATGCTCAAACGTAGCCCTTCATAAAAAGATGAGGGCAAACCTACAAATGTGCAAGTTCACTTTTCCAATTGAGCATGCACGATGAAGAGTGTCTGGGGTTTTAGGGATCACTTGAACATAGCGTGAGCAGAACTTGCTCCACCAGCAATGGCATATGCTGACATTCATAAGGCAATGAACACGATCTAACTGGCCTGGAGGTCTTATCCCGAGTGGTCTTGCCTCACTGACAGGCCAAACTGGCTTCAATCTCACTAATCTGTGACTACTTGAACCTTTCAGTTATATAAAGCAATGATTCTTTGCTGACAGTAAGCATCGCCGTGTAACAAGGCCTAGGTATCCGACTCTATACCCCATTGCTGTGTCTTACCCAGGTCCAGTTCCTCCTTGGGCGGCCTGTGACTGTAAGGTAGCGTCTTGTACAGCACGTCCAGGATCTTCTCCTTGACCTGGGAGATGGTGTCAAAGTCCAAGACCTTGACCTGGACGGGCTCAGCATCCTTGACCAGACCGATGGCATTGACCGTCTGCAAATAGGTCAGTGGACGGGCAATGAGGTCAGACTAGACATTAGAAGATCTCCAAAGTTTTTTTCAAAAGAAAGTCAAATGTGGACATGCTGCACCCTACACTTCATCACCAGTTTTGTTTGTAATCATTTTGATGCTAGAGATACAGTGTACATATTACTGCACAGAATAAATGTACACCTCTCGTACGCTGTTATAAGCTGTTATATCTGTGCAAGGGAAATGAATAAACTTCCAATAATAAGCTACCATCATAGATGCCAGTCAGGTTCTGGTACAGAGTCTAAAAATATGGTAAGAGGGGCCCCAAAGATGCCATGTGAAGGCCTGAAACGAGCCCCAAAATTTTAAACGCAAAAGCCTTTTGCCCGAAACGCAGCACCCCTGAATCATGAATTTGTCCATTATAAAATCATGAGGTGGCTCTGCAAAGGGCCTGCATGCATCCCCATGTTTGATTTGGAGGGTCATCCAGACGTGATCAATCTCACAGCAGCCTCACCATGAGCGTGTAGTTGATTTGCTGTCGGATGACCTTGACCTCGCTCAGCCCGTAGCGGGCCTCTCCAGTGATGGCATCTACGGGCCCCTTCTCCATCTGCTGCTTGATGGCGTAGAAAAGCTTAAAGAGCGGCTCGCCAGCCGTCTCCCGGATGAAGTTGTACAGCAGGAAAGACAGCCAGTTGCTGACCATCTTCTCAGCGACCGACTCGTTCCTGGAAGGAGACATAAAGAGATCGCTATTACACAGAACCTGAGCACAGAAATTTGTTAAGCATAGAAAACATTTGCTTAGCAAAAACTGGTTACCAGCCAAATTGTCATGCAATGTATACGGCCTGACACTGGTTCTCTGCTTTTTTCTGCTGGGCACAAAGTTTTGTTCAGCAGTGTCGGCTCATAAGAAATTGGGCCAAGAAAATGCATCCTGTACAGAGAACATCAACTTTGGGAAGTCACTGGATTTTGGGAGGTCACAGGACACACCATTCAATGAGGCTTGAATCTTTAATTGTGCAGAATGTTGGAGTAAATTGCTAAAAACCACATCCAAAATCGGTATCATTGTCTACAGGCTGTGGCTATTCACCACAGTGCATCAATGGCCAAAACTGCAGCTACAGCCCTAGCATACTTAATTTGGACATAGCCTTAACCTCTTGATGACGGGAATTTTTGTCCGAAAGCTGACTATGAGAATTCCAGCCTCGCTTGGCCACGAAGGCCACCTGCCAAACCGCAAATTCTCGGTTTGTGGCCCTGCGTGCTCTGCACACTTTGAATTACACTGTGAAAAGTCTGATTGTTTGGTGGCATGCAGCTCTACTCACGCTTCCACCATTCCAGTTGCCTCTTTTCATAGTGGGAACTATTGTGAAGCTGGTGATTATGATGCAAAATCGGTCTTTTCATTTCTGGGCTACACACAAAAGCCAATCATCATATATACAAGAGCCAGGGTCTGCCTTCTTTCACCTGAAAGGCAGGCTGAGGATCTCAATTTTTAGGGCGGCTCTTACCGTCTCCCGGCGCGAAGGGGTTAAACTAACCCTGGCATACTATACAAGCCATCCACCCTTTTGAAGGAACTTGACAATTCTAAATAGTAAACAGAGTTCAATCTTCAAACAAAAAATGCTAGCTCCAGATATGAAAAGCATCTGTCCATTTTTTTCACATATTCAGCAGCCATACGTGTATGACTGACTAAACAAAGAAAAATGATCTGGTCTGAACTCAAAACAAACTGAAATTCGGCTGCCACAAGGAATAAGTAGAAATTTCAAAGTCACCAGCACAGAGCCTTGTATAATTCAAAAAGATTTGAGGGAACTGATTCAAGTTATCCCTGCCACTGGAATTCCAAAAGAAGCAAATTGCGGCAAAAACCAAGTCCACTTGGTGATCACCATATTACTTGATTATTTTCAAAATGGTGACATCTACATCTTGGCAAAATATAACCGTCAAAATATGAAAATTTGGAATGCGTAATTGGAAAGTTGCATGTGATTTGGGAATATAAATGAACAAAACAAAAACTGAAACATCCATAAAGTACTGAAGTGTGACGTCACTGTGAACCAGAAAGTGCAGTGCAAACGAATGGAGTGCGCGCGCGTGTTGGTTCACATGCTGGTTCTCGCGCCAATGCCTTTTACACACTAAATCTGCGCGTGACGTATTCACTTCAGTACTCTATAGCACTGAGCCAGTGCTCTCCAGTCTGACATTGACTATCTCTCAACTTAATCAGTAGCATTGCTTTCAAGATTGATAATCAGAAGTAGCCGGTATACATCTTAGACACTGTCTAAAATGTGCACGCCCCTGAGTTAGATTCACGTTCTGTTTGAATTGGAACTGTACAGTTTTGTACGCCCTTCCGAGCTACAAGATAGGTGCAGTGATACTGCACGGTAATTTGGTTTGGTGTTGGAATGTCAATTTCATTCTGGATTTTGTCCTCACATCCATGCTTACAATTGCACTGTATTCTCAGTGTGATTCAAGAGTGACACCCCCCCAAAAAAACAAAGAAAAAAAAAAGGAAGCTTGCACGAGTGGGAATCGAACCCACAACATCATGCTTTAATACTGGAGCAAACATCTTAAATCATTCAACCACAGAGTTTGCCAGGATCGGGTGGTTGGCTTGAATCTAATGCAGCAGCGGATACTGTACTCAGTCATTGACATTGAGTTGGCTTTAGGTCAGGGGTGTTAATTCTACACTCGGTGTTGAATTTCCACCAACATACATCATCCTGCGCAGAATAAGTGCTGTTGGGATGGAAATGTTGTATTTCATTGAAGGAATCACCGGGGTGACCTTTCAAGAGGTGGCTCAAGCGTGCCAAGAGGGAATATCCTGCTCTACAACTTCAGGAAATGTTGAACAGGTGATCTTCGGAAAGATGACAGATGCCGGCATCATTCCAAAAAAAAAATCATGCAAAGGCAGTCTGTTTACCAAAAGGGGTCAAATTAGAGGCATGAAATTCGGCACACATGTAGGTAAGAGAAAGTACAGCAGCAGAACTTGATAAATTACATCCAATTTCACAGTCTAATCTGGGGAAATGCTAATACTGCGGTGGCACCAGACTCTTCAAACTGGATGCCCACGTGCATTTAGGCATCACAACATCCTATTAGTTGATGATGCATGTTGGGTGCCTTTATTATCTGTCAATGAGTGTGGTGCCACACTAGTAAATGGCTTCTTCTGATTGCCAAATTAGTCTATAAACCCTTTTGGAGGGACTTCAAAAAATTGGAGCCATTGTAAAAATGGTAAACTTTGGGTCTCATCAACGAAAGAAGACGAGCACGTTCAGAATTGTTACACTCGAAAATTAAACTTCTGATAGTTTGAAGCCAGTGCTTGTAAGGAATTTTTATCAACCTAGCAGATTCTTTCATTTAAGAACTTTACCTCTTCTCATACTGAAATGCAATGCTTATTAGTATACATTAGTTAAGGCACGTTAGTTAATCAAATTGTGTATTGCAACATTATGTGCACAACCTTGGACCACCTACTTACCACAGAATCGTAACACTTCCCTTTAATTCCACTCCTGAAGGCAATGTAGCCATGTGCTTGTAGTATCTACTAACCCATTCATTATCGCTGTAGATATTGTAATACATCTCTTTTAACATTTTCAGTGAAGTCTTAAATTTGTACATATTAGTAAATTAGTGAAATAAGTACGCTCTGGACAATAAAGGACATTTCGTAAATATTTCATCATGCACTGTACCTGCTGATGGCATTTTGCATTGACAAATGTACATTTGAACGCTAAGTTTTCCTTCATCAACCCTAACCTTCCCCAACCACGCAGAAATAAACACTAGTAAAGTGTTTAATTCTGTGGGGATAGGTCTGGTAGGCCCATAACAGCTGGCTTTTGCATCGGGTTTGGTATACCTCAGAAAAACAAAGTCCAACAGCCTCAGTGCACAAAGTCCCATATGGATGTTTAACTTTGTGTGAATGGGGAAGGTTAGGGCCAACAACCCTTGGGGGGGGGTAGGGTTAATGTAAAGTTAACATCTAATGCTATGTATAGTCTTATCCAGGGTCACGTGAGAATTTCACAAGCTTGCTTAACAAATGAATTCCAAACTACTTCAATGTCTTTTGAATGTTTTTGTGCGATGACTTTTCCCCTTTCGTGAATGTAGTGTCCGAAGAAGCCAGAACAAAAACGGATTACAGCATTTATCAACCATCTGTTTCATAAAAACCTCCGGGTAAGTTGAAAGTTCTTCAACTCAGCAGGGGGAACTTTTCAACTAACAGTTGGAAGGGACGATTCATACTTTGTGCCTCAGCCTGTAGTTAGCAACTAGTCAGTGGGTACTCGGAAATTGGTTGTCTCTGATTGGACCAATATTCATACAGTTACCAACTGGCTCTCCATCCATTCTTGGGAACCTTTTGAGACTTGCAGTTCACCAAGCCAAAGTATTCAGGGTACACTTGAAAAGAGGCAGACTCCAACTGTTTGTTCAAATAAACTTGGTTAACAAACTTCAAAACACAAAAAAAGCTCCTGGTGTAGGCTCTAGTGAATTATTTTATCAGACATGTAACACATCTTACCGCACTCACACAATTGTGATTACTTTGTGCAGAATGCAGTATGTATACAGAGACGTTCATGAATATGCAGCGAGAGACCAGCATGAATATGCAACAAGGTAACGTCGTGAATACGTAACCAGAAATCTCAGGAATATGCAACATATAAACACTGTAGCCCTCATGCAAGCCTGTAAACCTGTTTACTCCTAGATAGCTGAAACCATTTCTAATGTCTGACCAAACAAACTGCTATCATACAAATACATCCGACGCAGTTTGCCGCTAGTGGGGAAGGGCTTTAACATTCTCATTTCTGGGGACAAAATGACCGAAAATGTAAAGACAACACAAACAAGGAGGTAGACAAACACACAGAGGCAGAACAACACATGACAAGACAATGCAAGCAAACCCAGCACGACAACAAAAACCCAAAACCCACTGACCTCCTCATGAGGAGGCGGGCGCGGTCCTTCTCCACGTGCTTCTCAATCAGGTCCTTGAGAAGCACCTTCAGGATGGCCGTGGAGTAGTCCATCTTGCCCTGCAGGGCCACCATGATCAGGGAGGCCACGTTGCTCTTGTCCTTCTGGGTGAAGCCCTTCTGGGCCTCAAGCGTCCGGATGAAAGTCAGCAGGAAGGGCTTGTTGTTGACCAGCTGCTCAAACTGGACCAGGCCCTGCTCGATACGGCTCTTGCTGGCCCCTGCAAGCTATCGGGGTGGAAGGGAAGGGGGTAGAGGGATTGAAAGGAGGTAGGGTTGGGGGAGCAACAACCCAAGATATAAGTTCATCATAGCATCTAACTAATGGCTAAATCACAAGTCAACAGCTTTTCAAAAAAGGACTACGGTAAACAGGCGTTTGTCATAGTTTATCCCATTATTTGAAGCAGAAATAAAAATTAGGCCATATCTCTGCCCGGGACACCAAAGGGCAAGTTCTGGTGAAAACTATTGTTTGACCAATGGTTAACTGCTATTTAAACAATGCACACGCACAATACAATAACACTCGAATGGCTCTAGTCAAACCATTTTGTGAAGTCTCAAATCTCATCACTCATATTTTGCATTTGGCTACAACTCTTGCCGAGTTCATTGTCAGTGGCATCTCATCAAACTATTTTTGCAGGACTGGTTCCCTCTGCACTGATACACGAAATCGCTAACTGATAACCGATGCTGCAACTACGCACCAGGGGCCTGGTTCCGAATGGCCCAACTAGATGGCCCAAACCGTTCATTGTTCAGGTGACGCTGGTCGAACTACGGTTAACCGTAGTCATTGCTCCAACTTGCCATAAACTGCACAGTCCTCCATTAAGGATCTCGTTTCGGCAGCCCCATCAACCCCAGCATCCCTAGGCAGCAGGTCGACACAAACAGGGAAGGGACACCCTGTACTAGCCCACAGCTGCATGTATCTCGATTGTTTTAGACAGACAGATAATTTGTCTGCTGTTCTTGTACTTACTGCCAGCTCCCTCAGCACGCAGTGGTTGGGCTGGTCGGGGAAGAGCGTCCTGACACAGTACAAGTGGTACTCTCGGTAAGGTATAGCCTCCAGATCACCGGTAAGGATCGTCATGTCTGTCTGCAGCTCGGCAAAGGCTAGAGACGAGGACAATAAATAACGACATCAACGATGGGCTATGGAATACAAAAACCAAAGACACTTGAAATCCCTTGACACCAGGATTACTTCACAGTAATCTGACCTAACGCATAAGATTACCTTTGAACAAAGCTCCTCATGTTTAAACAAATTGGAAGTTTGATGGTTTAACCTGTCAATCGCCAATATGATCAGACACCCCCAAAATGTGTTAAAAAGTGCTCTCCACGAAAATGCCGCAAAAAATTGGCACAAACTGTCAACGGGGAGAGGAAATTTAATGCGCACAGGATGTGAGCCCACCACTTTTGCATTACCGCACCGGAGCTCAATGAAAACCCTGACCGTGCCAAAGCCAACACAATTCTAAGTCATTTACACTAAAGTCTCAAAGGTTCAAGGCTATCCCAGCTCATCTTTTAGCCCCTTGACGACGGGAACTTTTTTCTGAAAGCCGGCTCCGAGAATTCCAGCCTCGCCTGGCCACGAAGGCCACCTGCCAAACCGCAAATTCCCGGTTTGTGGCCCTGTGTCCTCTGCATGCTTTGAATTACACAGTAAAAAGGCGGTACGGTGGCATGCAGCTCTACTCACGCTTCTACATTCCCACTGCCTCTTTTCAAAGTGGGGACTATTGTGAAGCTGGTGATCATGATGCAAATTCGGTCTTTTCATTTCTGGGCTACACACAAAGACCAATTACCATATATACAAGAGCTGAAAAGTGGGCTGAGGATCTCAATTTTTACGACGGCTTTTACCGTCATCCGTCGCGAAGGGGTTAATTGTGGTCCCCAGACTGATCCCATTTGATGCAAACTATGGGACAGAGAGACCCCCCCGCCTTTGTGTCAGTCATTGTTATACTGGTATCTCAGGAATTCTTTTCAGACATCTAGGGGGGATGTGTCAAGTAACAATAGGCTAGTGTGTGTACAGGGCTTGGACTTGTTGGGGGGGATTACCCCTCTGCCCTATTTCATGCCTTACTTTCTTTGCACTCCTGGGCCACCTGCAGCTCCAGCTGGTCTCGTTGGGCCTCCATCTGCTTCACGATGGTGTCATTGGCAAAGGCCTTGCGGTAGGAAATGCACAAGATGATTATGATGATCAAAATGACGATGATGACGGCTGCTCCAATCAGGATGTAGACCGAGAAGTCCTCTCCGACATACTCCACCTGACCGATGGTGAAATTGCGGTTGCCATGGTACACCTGCAATGTGAAAGGCCAAGGAACCAACTGAAGGCTGAAACCAAACCTGAAAACAAACCAATGCAACACATCGGCAGTGGCATGAAGTAAGTTTGTCGTCAAAGATGCAGCATCACCCGGGGGTTTTCAGTAGGGCCGAATATCCAATTAATGCCAGGAAGTTTTCATTTCAGAGGTGTAAGGATTCAGACGTGAATACAAAAATAAGAAATGATGTCCGGTCTTTTTTGCTTGAATCTTTATTTTTGCGATGGTGATTTCGCTGGGACCAATTAGGTACATACATCAGTTGGACCAGCAGCCTCATCCTTGAACTAAGAGACAGAACACTGACACAAACTTGCACCCTTTGTTTCTGCTTTTCTGGGCATTTGGTACAACTGGTATCAATCAGAAGATCCATCAGGCTAAAATTCATTATCCAAGTTGACTAAGAGATCGCTAGCTCACAGCCAAGGTAACCAGCTGGTACTTTTCATCACACTGGCTGACCTTGCATTTCCGTGTACCTTCTGTGTATCTTGGTTCAGGTTTCATAGCTCTAAGAGGTGACTGCTGTACTGCTGCCTGCTATAAGTGCCCAGACAACCTATTACAAAGAGAGATCTCCTAATGTTTTGCCCTATGGTTTCACGCGTGAATGTTTTATCATCAAATGAATGGAGGAAGAACAAATCACCGCAGCTGAAATTGAAAAATGCCACAAACCAGACAGAGAATGCAGGACAGCACAGAGTGCGAGCAAAAACACAAGACCAGGACTGATAGACTGCACGAAACAGAACAGGACTAACTGAGCCGAACTCGTTTCCAGATGACTAAAGCAGTGTGAAACCACAAAACTTACCACGACTTCAGGGAATTCTGCTCCCGTCTTGCTCTGCGGTTGTTCAGTTGGCGGGGAGCATGTCAGTGTGGTGGCAATCAGGGTCACGTCTTTGCAGACTGCGTCACCAATGGTCACATTGACATCCCCCTCCTTGTAGGTAAGGGTCAGATTCTCACCCTGGGTGGAGCAAATTGGACGGGAGGACAGATCAATTATAGCAAAATCATAAACATCAAACTTTGCAGCACACTCAAATACCACTATCCGCTAAACACATCGCGGGCCAATTCAATGGACTTGTCTGCTTACAACAAGAAGTACTGCATTTAAAGTTCACTACACAGGTTGCTTGCCGAGCTGGTTCCCTGCAGTTTTCGCCACAATGTCATTGGCTCCCTGCATATTTTTCACAAAATGTCACTGGCTCCCTGCATACTTTTGCTTAGCATGGCCCCAACAGTCCAAAATCCACCGGGGAAAAAAGTGCTTTTAAGACCGGCTAAGGAGAACGGACGCGACTAATGCCCAAGCCACAGGCGAGGGCATTATCAGCGTTCAGTCTCCTGAGCCGATCTTAAACGTAAGTTTAAGATCGGCCAAGCACATATTTACTTTTCATTCATAAATACCATTTTAGTCAGAGACAAGAGAAGTCATAATATGATGGATTTCCACTGATTCTGTATTAGAATTTTACTTTCATTTTCCTGAACACCCCCGTTCATTTTATGGTATATTCCTTTAACAAGCTGTCCAATAGAATCTCTTTATATGGACTTGGCGGCAGCATGGCAGGCTGCGTGCACAGAGACTCTTAACCAATCAGAATTGATTAAACTATCTCGTATGCAGGGAGCGGGCATTATCAAATATTAATGCACGGTCACGTTGCACGTCGCTCAATAGGGAGACTGTCTGAGATATTTATGAATACGATTTTACATACACCTTAGAAGGTTAGGGTTAAACAGTTGTTGCTAGGCAGCATTTTCTGCTACGCTCTTCCATGAAATTGGTAAGAATTTGGAATCTGTCAGAAGAAATCAATTCAAACAAGCAGTCTCAGCAAAAGCGCATATACAAATGAAGTATTGTGAGTCAAGCATGCCTAGAGCATGTAGTAGCACTCAGTCCACGATTCCTTCAACTGCGTGTCAATTAATGCACGGACTGAAAAACAATACAGTTAACAAGCCAGTACGACTAATAGGGCACTGGTTTATGAAATCTCACTTGTATTTCCAGGATGAGTGTCTGATCAAGCTTCAACTTCCGGATGTTTTTCTGGTCATCAAACTTGTAGTAGACGGGGTCCGGGAAAAACTTAAAGGGCTGGACCGTGGTCAAGTCCTTCAGGGAGGTGANAGTTCTGGACGCCGTCCAGGACAAAGCCGTAGTTGGCCTTGGGCACGGCCTGGACGGCATAGGGGCTGACGTCCGGCGAGGGGCAGATCATTTCGGCCTGGCTGAGAACGTTGCAGGCCTGAGAGGCAATGTTGCAATGGGAAAGTGTTAATATATTCAGCATACTTTGGTGGCAATGCTATATCGGTCCAACAAACTCCTCATGAGTGGTCTCAAACGTTCAGATTTTCAAATAATACTTTGCTAATGTACTGAGCACATTTTATAAAAGGTCTAGTAAGGTACATGTATCACAGTATCTGTCCCTCATTTTGTCACGATGTGCAAATAAGAAATGTTGCAATTGAGCCAAATCAGTACCAAGTTTTAAAATGTCTGACAGTCTTTGTGAAGATAGTAATACCGAAGCTACGATGGTGAAATTCCTCAGAGTCGCGTATGCCTGTTCATAATACTTGTCATTCGAACTCCCTTCCTCACTATTCACTTTCAGACTTTAGCCAATGCCAAAGAGACACATTATAATTATGAGTAAGACCTCCCCACAGCTTCGCAGACAGCCCTAATCTTGCCACCTTGGGGTACCTACCAAAGTCAACTTGGTCTTGTTGTTGATGGTGAACTGTATTTCGGGGTTCTGTATCACATCCAGGTTGGTCCCCTCCACCTTGATATCCAACCCACCACTGTAAAAGGAGATGAACCCCACGGTGCCAGTTAACGATCCTACTGCTTTAAATGCTACGTGTACCATTTACTTAATAGGCAATGAAAAGTGTGTGAAAGAAGTCCTGTTTAGAAACTTAGTTTGAAAACCACATGTAGAAAATGCTTTCCTGTTTACGTCATCAAACATATGAGGCTTTACATCTGGTCCTAATACACAGTGGTGCAAATTATCAATTTTCTTCACTTTCCTCATATGGGAACAACTTTTTTTCCGATTTTTGCTTTTCTCTTCCACAAAGATTCATGTTTTTCCTACCTCCCTGTAGTTTGAAAAAACTTAATGTGAATATCACTTGCCTTTTTATGCTTCTGTATCGATTCAGACCGGTGATCGCAGGATCTTGCCTGTATTCAAAATTAAGGCTGGCATCATTTGCCTCCCCATCAAAGAGCATTTGTACTGAGGCCTGACTGATACCCACAGCGCTGTTGGGCGTCTTGCATACCAACTCGTTTAATGATCGCCTGTGCAGGGAGAGCGTGGAAAGGAATACGGAATTTCACGATTAGATATACGTTTGTGTCCCTAAAGGACACAGCCTAACAAGTCATGTCCTCAAAGGTCATGTCCACGAATGTCACCTCAAAAGCTCATGTCCTCACAGGTCATGTCCTCACAGGCAATGTCATCACGAGTCATGTCCCTAAAAGGTACATCCTCACAAGCCATATCCTCATGAGGCAAGTTTTACAAGTCAGGTTCTCAGTCTCAGGACAAGGCACATGTTATTCAACTGAACTATGACAAAGGAATTCCCTCTTGTCACTGTGATCTTTCGTGTCCATGGTTATTCGACTTTGAATTCAGCAGTAGCAAGCTAGATATCCAGGTGAAAGTGGCTTTGCATGAACTGGCTTTTTCTCACGATCTGCCAACCATTAAAGGGGAGTGCACTCCCACCACTTTCTGTTCAGAATACTCGGTGCTCACCTGATGAGTTTGCATTCCGGTCCACCCACCACGGTGATGACATCTTGGCCAGCGTCCAGATAATTGCCAGTGATGGTAATACTGGTCCCTCCTGACACTGGGCCAAATGACGGCTGAACAGCTGTCAGCTCTGGCACCTTGACAAGACAAAGAAAAAAATCAAATTAGGAAGCATCAAACTGAGAAATACAAATTCTGCACAAAAAATACAACAGAGCAGAGCAGAGTTAAGTCAGAGTGACACAACAGCTTGCTTAAACAAAACTCAGTATAAGGCTTTCATTTTATCATAATTTCGATTTATTAAAACCACTACTCAAAACCTTAGCAATTATTACAAGCACCAGTGACAAATCTAAATTACATAATATGCACAAATTCCACACACTACATGTACGTCATCAGACAGGCACTTCATTTTCTGTCAAGAAGAAGCCAAAGGAGCCTAGTTTTTCTTTTCTTCATAATCATTTAATGACTGCAGAAGGTTGTTCCATCAGTCTAGAGAAGTGAGGGCCAACTTATCCTGGCACTTTGTTCTTAATGATTGGTAGACAGGTACAATTCTGTCCATTCCCTGCAAGTTGTCTCGTGTGCCTACCACATATCTGAATGGTTCCTCAGATCGAGCCGTGACAGTTTCTTCAGCGTCCATCTGATTTCCGCTCCCAATCACAATCTCTATCTCTCCTTCCTTTTCACCAGAGGCCTGGGTGTAGCATACAACTCTGCATGGTGGTGGACGAGTGTGGGAAGTAAAAGAAAAGACACAGCTCAAACTTCAGGGTTCTAGACCAGAGTCCTGGTCTCGGTCTACCGGTACTTCTAGTTGAGGTTATGAAAAAGACTGGAGGCAGTATGGTGAACAGGACCCGGCGTTATCACTGTAAAATTTACAAGGTGCACAATCTTCACATCCATTTACCATGTTTCATTCACATACATTTCAAGGGACAACTCTCTCCATAACTGAGACACGAGGACTGTGAGTGCACTGAAAATGTGACTACGGAAAGGTGCCTTTAATGGGGACAATGCACAAAGTGTACAGAATGAGTGCACAGTGTTACACTTACTGTGTTGCCACAATATAGCCGCTCTGTTCGATAGTGCAGACTGTGCCCGCCACAGTCACGCTGCGAATATCCTCCGCTTTCTGTCCAAGGTTGATACCGGTTATGGTCAGGTTGGTGCCGCCTCTCACGTAGCCACTCTTGGGGGAGAACTGGACCAAGAACAGGAGTGGTACCGTCACAGCTATGACAAGGAC